GATGTATCAATTTAAAATAAACCTACATTCAATCTCACAGGAAACATGTTCATATGGAGCAAGACTTTAAGATATCTAAGATTCTAATATTCTGAATATCAGTCTTGCATTTGAAAGTGTAGAAGCCTTATCTGTGGGTGTAATTAAAATTCAACAGAAATCCATAAATGGCCCAGAACCATTAGTATTTCTAGACAGTTAGGATCATAAATCATTTGTGAAACTTTATTGGAAACCCAGAGAAAATAGCTTTTCCCTTTGAAACAGTCTAAGACATGACCTTCAATGTTTCTGTTCTGTATGGAGTTAGAGTAATCACTTGTAGGAATTTTAAAGTTAATATTTTATGACTGCTCTCAACAATGTGAAAATGTGATCCTATTTCTCAAACCTTTGTACAGCAGGCACAGTATTAGTTGTGTTGTTTGACCTGGGATAACCAAAGGGGAGCTGTTTTTTGTGACAAACTTTTCTTTGACAAGTCCAAAACCAAAATGCTGGTTTAGTCTCTGGACTCTGAAGCAGTTTCACATTTTCTGTTAACAGTCAGTCTTGCATCTTTCCTCCTGTCATTTGCTTCTTCTTCATGACGTGCTGATAAGGCTTAGATTAAAATGCATTTCATCAGGAGCAGGGCTGAAATGTGCCTGACAGGAGGGACAGCAATGAGAACTTCAGAACAAAAGGCATCTATTTAACAGCTGAGGAACCATCTTCAAGGTGTGAGGTTGTCAAGTGTCCAATCAACTACACTATGTGTGACACAATGAATCATCCCACAAATGAGTAATTTGCAGAAAAGAAAAGGGATGGGGATTATTGAAGGAAGTCAGGGTGCCAGTGGCAGGTGAGTGATTGAACCACTGGGTATTTCTAGAAGGAATCTGAATTCCAAAAACACAGAGATGCTTCTGTAGTCTGTAGGAGGTCCCTTAGCAACACAATTCAGAGGTGTTCAGCATATTTGAGGCTGAATATATTAAACACACTAATGTAAAATTTAAGATAAGAGTTTTTTTTAGGTCCCTTAGCAATTACTTTATTATGCTAGCTTTTGTCAGAATTGATCAAGTTAAGATGGTGTGCCAAATGTGGTTTTTTTTTTTTTCCTCTGGAGCAGGTTGACTCAGTTCTCCAGTGCTGTGCAATGATTTCTGCATTAACACTCTTTCTTGTCGTAGGAGCGCTCCAGCAATTCAGCAGGTTGGCCTTATGTGCTTTTTTATGAAGAATTTTTTTTTTTCACATTTCCTTCCTCTTCTGTATCCAATATGTGAACATGAGGGACAAAAGATTGGTCAGTGTTTCCATAATGGCATGGACCTCCGTGGGCTCATGCATATTCACTATTATTAGATGGCTCATATGCCTTTAACCCATCGCTTAATGGAGCACAAATCAGTCAAGATTTGCATTTTGCTTGCTATTCAAGTTTTTTCAAACTCATGAGCTCCCTGCCTAACCACAAGAATATTTATCCAGGTTAATTGATAAAATCTCCTCAACATAAAGTGCTCTAGGAAACAATTTCAGAACACTTATGTGTTGTATTAACATCTCATTATTTTATTCAACAACCCCAGAGCAAGTGGGGGTGTAGGATGAATGATATGTGTGTCCTAATGGCATTTTCTCAAGAAAAAAGCTCATCTACACCTCTTCTAAGATATCTGTGTGCTCTTTCACTTAAGACCTAAGCATCCTTAAAGATGTTTTCAGCCTTAGCTTACAAAATATGAATTCAAGCGAAGCAGTTGCTAGAGTTTGAATAATGAATGGTTTAATTGCTTGCTGTATTTTACAGTGAGTTTTAATAGAAAATTTAAAATAAAAAGAAGAGGAAAAACAGCAGAATTGCCATAAAGTCATAAGCAATATGTAAAAAGGAATAGAACTAAATATCTTAAATAAATGATTCATTACAAGTTAGTACTCCAAGCTGTTTTTCCACCTTTGCAGTTACTTTTTTTGCCTAAGGATGGCTTTCTATGAATTTACGTCATGATAAATGTGTCTTTAAAGCAGTGAAGCAGAGATAAAATAGATTCTTGGAATCTGCTCTGGAATGTCACACACTGTAAAAACTCCAGTGTCTCAGCTTAAATAGTTGTATTTAGTACAGTTTATTCCTGTTATCTGTAAAATATTTATGCAGCTGATTTTTCCCCCTATATTAGTAAGTGTTTCAGGACAGGTAATTTCAAACCATCTCAACATTAATTTTTATTGGCAGCAGACTGAAAGTAAACCCTTGTACTTTACTGCTCTGGTGGGAAAAGGAAGATTAATTGAAGTTACTGTAAATGGAAATAAAGCTAAATACTTCTCCTCCACTACTGAATTGAATGAAATTAGGGCAGAGGAGGCTGTTTGTCAATAGCCAGTTATGATGAAAACCAATTAGAACAATTCCTGTGTTATAAATAGGAATACAGTATCATCTTTTCAACCTATGGGCAAATCTCTGGAATTAAGGAGGATGTATCTGTCCAATATGTTTATTTATATAATATAATGATACTTAATAAACTGCTAAAGTTAAATAAACATGAATGTGTCTTCAAAGCAAGTATTTTAAGGGCTTAATTTTCATCAACAAATGCTTAATTCTGCTCTGTCAGATAAAAAAGTGCTGCCAATTTTTTTCTTGTTTTTCTTAAAAGATGAGGAAGTGGCTTTCTATTTGGTTGTCCTACTCATCTTCCTGCTCTAACATAATTCCCTTTTGTAGCCTCTTCCATTTCATAAATTCCTTCCTCATGTTCCACCTCTAAACAAAGGAAAAAAATGGACTTTCCACATTTCTGTGACAAACAGAATAGCTGGGGAAACAAAAAAATTCTGAGTCATTCTTGTCTATCATGTATACATTATGTTAGCTAATATTTTTATATATAAATATATTTTGCTTAGGTTGCCTTTTAAGTCATGGCCACAGCCTCTCACTTTCCTGCCATTTTAATGTCAGCCAAATGTTGCTGCCAGGGTTGGGAACAAAAGCTCCTCAGGAGAAGGCTGCTGTGTTGATGGGAGATTACCAGAAAAACCCAGCTGTTCTAAGCAGTGGTTTTGATATCATTATTAGTTTTATCTACTGTATCAATAATGAACACATGAGAATGGTTTTAATGAAAATTAAATTCTAATCACTTAGGGGATTAACTGACCTACCTGTCTGTTCCTGTTGAAATTCAATATTTAGATACCATATTATTATATGCAGCATTTCCTGTTTACGTCCTACTTTATGCTCTGATGAAAAAAAAACCCTTCTGAGTTCTGAGATTTCCACCCAGACATAAATACAGGCACCCTGCCCTGGCACTACAGAGTTGCTCGCAGCAGGGCTGGCTCAGAAGTCCCTCAGGACAGTGGCAGATCCTGACTCTGGAGGACTTCTCAGAGCACAGTGACTCTGCCCTCTTTTGCTGCCTGCCTGAAAACAGACCGTCATACTTGAATTTCTCTCTGTTTTTCCAGGATCTGTTCATGTGAGTACTCCTTAAGCAAGAGATGGTGATTTTTATGGTCCACAACAGAGTTAATATTACTCTATATTTAAGTTATTTTTCATTACAAGATCAATAATACTGCCCACATTTTCCAGTACCAAAAATTTTCCTGATTTAGTCATTACTTTTCTAAGTATTTGTTTTTTTAACTGGGCTACTTTCTGTACCATCCACTGTCTCCTAATTTTTTTTTCGGGAGGGGAAATTAGTATTTATGTTCTGTTCACCTTCTCCATTAATTATTATCATCATATCTATGTACCTGTTCTTTTTTAATATTTTCTTTAATAAAAATCTATAGTAAAATCTATAATAAAAATATTATTTTTTAATATATATTATCTTAGCCCATTAGTTTTCTAAACTATATGTGCCCTTCCACACCTTTTCCTCTCATCAGTTTTCTTTAAATTACATCCTTCATCAGTCTACCATTTTTTGTTTTTTCATTTCTATGTAATTTTTTAATTCTAAACTATTCCTAAGTAATACCATATGTTTACTGTCTGTGAAATTATTGGAAGAGTGGACAGATGAAGGTGTCTGACTTCCAAAATACTTTATTAGTTGTTTCTCCTGCTTCCATTTCCATGTCTCCTTAATAGTTACCCCTGTCGTGAATGCCCAGCATTTCCAAAGGAGTACAAGTTTTGCTTTCCACTTATTTTGCAGTAGATGCTTTTTGGTCCCCAAAAACATTGAATAACAATTAAAGCTGGGAAAGTCTCTTATTATTTCTCATGTTCTTTAAATAGACCAGATGTTTTAAGAACAAAATCAGAAATCGATGAAGAGCTGCCGTGTTTTGTTGTAAGATTTCACTGAATAATTTCAGTGTGAGACTTTCACACTGAATGTCATTTACCAGCTTAGTAAGATAAATTACTTGATATTAGTATTAAATAGTTTTAAAAAGTTGGTTTTCTTCTTTACGTCTTTTCTGAATGAACAAATATATCCCCCCCACTTCAGTCCCTGTCTCTTTCAGAAATTGTGTGTGGAAAAAGGAGGGAAACAACAAATAAAGTTGGGGGTTTTTTCACCCCCAAAGTATCTGGTTTATTTCTGCAAATAATTGATGTAAAATGAGTATTGATCTGGGGACAAATCTAACCCTAGAAAACTTCTGTGTTTGCAGTAAGCCTCATGAAGAAAAAAGGCTGTTAAAAGTTGTTACTTGTTTCACTTGTAATAGTTTTAAGTGTAAAGCTAGCAGACTTGATGATTACAGGATGCATATTTAACTCCAAGGTGAAGAGAAGGTTGTCTGTTTAATAAGCAAGTATTACATAGAATAACAAGCTTCGTAATTAAGAAATTTGATCCATTTTATTTTGCTGAAGTACATGATCTATTTGTTCAATGACACTGCAAGCCCAGAGGTACCAGACCTCTTGTGCCTCACAAAACTGCTGCTGTCCAGGAAGAGAAACAGAGAACGATACAGCGCTGGGAGGGGGCAGAGAGAGATTTTTATTGGAAGCTGTTAAAGTGGTTGCTATGAGACCTTCTCCAGCTAACACAGGCACAGCAGTGTGTGAGGCTGATAAATCATAGCTCTTGCATTATACCTTCCCTTTCTGCCTTTTTTTTTTTTTCCCCTAACACAGCTTTTATAGTTGTTTAAGATCAGAGAAAACACCTGCCAGTTGCTTTTTCTTCTGTTTCGGTCCTTTCTGCTGCTTCGTGCAAGATGGAGCTAGAAAATGCAATGATCAGCTCCTCGAGCGGTTCCTCAGCAGGCTCCAGAGAGTACAAGGTGGTGATGCTGGGAGCAGGGGGAGTTGGCAAAAGCGGTAAGTTTCAGCAACAATATTTTGGGACAGAAAGGGGTGAATTGGGACCGTAAAGTTCACTGGGAAAGGACATTGTTTAATGAGGGGTTTCCTTCCTCTTTCTCTTGCACATGGCTTGGATAAAAGACTAGAGTTTGTGACTGGGGCAATGAGTCAGCTTAATTTGTTACAGACTGAAATGCTGCAAGCCTTTTTAATTGGTTATTTATGTAGGGCTGACCTTGGGTCTGGTGTGTGTGAGGAGAGAGCAGTCAGGCTGCTGCTGTGAGTTTAACACCAAGTGCCAGTGCCGGTGTCACTCTCCCACTTGCTGAAGGGTGGTGGATTGCTGGGCAGTGTGGATGTAACTTGTTGGCCTGAAGGTCCTTGTGCTCAGGCAGAAATCAAACTAACTGCAAAGTCAGCTGTACAGAGTGTAGGAATGCCTGCAGTGACTCACTTTTCCTTTTTTTCAATTTTTTTCAATTATTTTTCTTTTTCTTTTTTTTTTTTTTTTCCTTTCTTCCCTGAGTGTCATTGTGGTTTCCCTGCTTTTAGTCTCCTCTTCAGTCCGGACAGGTACAGCTTGACTGCCTGAATCTCACTCCAGGCTATGAGGCAGATTTGCAGCATATTTTAATATCCCTGTCTACAGCTGGCAAGATATGCTAGTGTCTGACAATGATATCTCTTTGGAGGAGTCATTATTTTCTCTGGACAGTGTTTTCTTTTTCCCAGATATTATCAGCTTTGATTTATTCTCACTGGAACCAGCATTCTCTGTTCTTACAAAGACTTTGCTAAACACGCAGAGCTTGTTTCAGAAGTCTGAGCTGGCCACACAACAAGAATTTGATTGCGTCTTCTGGAAATTCAAAAGAACAACAGAAAGAGAAACAAAATTTAAAAAAAAAAAAACCACAATATAATACAATACATCCCAGCTAGGTTCCAAAGAATTTTCAGGATAAATAGCTGTGACACTAAACTCTGAGAACCGTGTAGATCAGACAAGTTTTATTTATATTCAACCACTAAGATGAAGTATAGGTGCAAAAAGTTAAAAATTTTGAGTTGACATACTTTTCTTTCTGTATCCATAATCTATGTGGTTTTGTTGTATTTGGCTTCAACTTCAGTGGCACATCTTTCAGTGAGAGCTATTTCCCATCAGTATTGCTTAACTAAGCAAACAGTTCTTGCACAGATGTTACTATATAATCACCATATAAAATGGGAAAGAACAAAATATTGGTAATCTTGGAGTAAATTTCTGCAATTTTGGATTATCTTTTCCATAGAAAAGCAGGTATACAGGATGTGTTACCTGGAACTTCCAGTAAAATATTTTTTTATTTTCCTTATATATGTATATTTTAATTGCTTTTTTTCTTTTTAATCTTTTTCCTGTAAGCGTGTCCAAAAGATGGCAGCAATTTTTCCTCCCCCAAACATATGTTTGTAGGAATAATGCCAGTTTGAAAACTAATTCACCACAAAGTATTATGAACTATACTACATTCATAGCGTGACTGAATGATAACAACCAAGCTTTACATGTATGTGAAGGAAATTTCTGAGTTTCCACTTACTACTAGATAAGAGTTGAAATCAAAAATTTAGTTGATTCAAATCTCTCTGTTCAGAAAACGTTAGCTGTTGATTTAATGAGAATAAAGCCCTTAAATCTGTGGATTGAACAAGGTATGATGTATCTCCAAAGCTGAGAAACACATAATTAACAAGTAGAATTGTGTGGTCTAAAGAAAAACAGATGGGATTAAGTGGATATTTAAGAAATTCTTTAGGATTAATGAAAACTTCCTCTTGTTATCATGTAAGTGATACTCCTGGGTGGAAAACGAAATACCCCAACAACCCCCAGCAAATTATTAAGAGTTCATAAAAAAGGAGGTGGGCAGTTCAACATTTACTGGTTATGAACTTCTGAGGTGTAATGGACCTGAAATATTTCAGTAGAATACTGACTGATCATCCAACTGATAGAATTCAGAGACAGATAGAAAATAAAAATAGATGTCGTTGCATAAATCATTAATTCATTCTGACTGTTACATAATAATTTACACTCTATTAAAACCAGAAAAGGGCCTTAATGACTACTTTCATTCCACAAGATGAGCTCTGCATTTTCCTAATGACCTAGATTCTATGTGTCCAGGAAATTATTAATTTAACCATAAAAATGAATCAGAGTAGAATAAGGAAGAAAGGAAAAAGAAAACAAAAAAATTTGGTTTCCAATTTTGATTTTGAGAAATCAGTGGTGTGTAGTTTGATGTATCGATAACATCCTGCCTTTGTTTTCTCATCTTCTCCCTCCTTCTTTCCTTTTAAGTCATAATAAAACCAGTAACAGCTGGAGTAAAATTACTGAGTGGGAAACCTCTTTCGGATGAAAGCTTTTCCATTCCTCAATTCATTCTAATATTAAATAATTCAGGTTTGGAATGAATTTTCCATAGGAACCAAGCTGCAAAAATGTTAGATTTCTTTTTGCCATGGATGTAGTTCACTTCCAGAGATCCCCTGGGCATTTTGATCTTGTGTTTCCAGCCCTCCCCTGTTCTCTCACTGTGACATTTGTGCATGGGGTGGAATGAGGAGGAGGAGACCAAAAACAGATATTCTTTTGGCATTGGTGTTTACAAAAAATTCTCTTTCGATTAGTCAGTCTTGTCTCTTCTCTTCACCAAGATGGCAGGCAGTTCAGGAGGACAACCAACATCCTTTTATTTGTGCTATTCAGTAGGGTGTAAATTTCACAGGAACTGGTAAAAGATGATGAACCCTGTGCATCCAACTCTGACACACACCACATGCAGAGTAATAATGTGTAAAAAAAAAAAAAGGTCTGCCATTATTTTATAGGAGAAAAAACTCCACCTCAAAACCCAGGTTTCAGAAGAAACAGGTAAGAGTTGTGTCTGAAGAAAATGTAGAAAGCTAGATATAAATTTGTAAATTTTATAGGAGTTGATTTCTGTACTGCAATTATGGAATATAGATTCCCTAGAATGCATTATTCCTTCTGAAAACAGAATTCTTTTTGTTTTCAGAGCAATATGTTAATTTCTTATGTTGTGTAAGTTGTGTTTGTCATCAAGATCATCAAGTACAGCCTGATGCAAGTTCAGACCTAAATTATGCTAGAACAAATAATTAAATTAAAATTAAGCTGAAGTAAAGTAAATTTTGTATTGACTCTCATTCAATTATAGTCCATATCAAAATTATGTATTTCTATTTATAGTTATATTTCAATTAAAATGAGAATTTTGCACTTTTTCTTCTCTGCTCTGATGACAAATATCAGACCACCTTGGTACCACTCAAACCTACCTAAATTTACCTGATATACGGTTCAAACCCTAAGAGCCTTGGTGATTCTGAAACCCACTTTGCTCACAAATGTCTTCAGAGATCAGTAGACAAGGTGTTCTCATGGTCCTTGCCTGACGCAGATCAGACCTCTGGGCTCAGCTCTGGCTTTTTCTGTTGTATTTGTTGCAAATAAAAAACACACACGAAAGAGCCTCTCAGTCCTAAGACCATCCACTGCTGCCTCATATTTAGCAAACCAATTACACTGATAACAATACTTAACTGCAGCACATTCTGCAAAATATTAGTGATTATTAACCCAGGGGCTGCAGAATGACTGTCAAAATGAACAAATTGATGTACCTGTGTAACTGAACAAAATAAGAAACCTCCCTCTGATGAAAAATTATTACCTAAGCAATCCCCAAACACTGATCAGATTACACCATAACCCACCTTTATGTGCATCTTCTTGGCTGAATAAAAATGTTATTTTAGTGTTTTCTTGGTTTTTTGTTTGATTGTTTTTTCCCTGGTTAATGATGATTTATTTAAGACTGAAGATGATCTACTGTTATTCCAGGTAAATAAAATTACCTGTTTGTGCATAGCATAGGTTTATCATAGATACAAAATGAATTTCATGTTAGCTGTCACATGGAAGTTACATTTCAGATGAAAAGAGTAATTCTTTAAGAAATCAAAGCTAATAAATATCTCTCGTTAATAAGATAGAATTTTTATCTTGGAGAAAATATTCATCTTTCAATATTTATTTCTCGAACTGATTGCAAGATGATCTGTTGCCACCGTACAAAATTTGAAGATATTTTAAAACAATTGCCCCAAGACTTTTGCAAAACTTATATATTCTAGTTTTATTGTATATTGGAAAGTAGATTGAAATGTATTTTCAGGCTTCAGTATTAAAAAGAATAAAAAAAAAGACAAAGAAAAGAAATTAAGAAAAGATTCTCTCAAGGATATTGGAGGAATAGTGTGAAGAAATGTATTCTCAGACTGGGCTGCCTAAGGAAGGCATTGATTTCCTTGGTATTTCTTTTTTTTGTGTATGTGTGTGGTTTTTGGTTTTTTTTTTTTCCTTTGGTTGCTTGACAGTTTGTTTTTGCCAATGTGGCACAAAGGCTGTGTTTTTACAGATGCAGGCGACTCATCCAATTAATTTCAAGATCATTTGTACACAATAACTTCCAAAATGTGTGAAAACAATTATGTTCTCTGTGATGTGGGAACTTCAGTACGAGGAATTAGATTAAATCTGCAATTTTCTTTCATTTATGTGCTCAATTGCCATTTTTTTTTCTGGACCAGTTTTGCCTCTTATTCTGCCTTGATAAAGCAAATTGTGTGCCTATTATTTTCAAGCATGTCCTCATAACAAGAGTCCCCAGTAAATAGAGCACCCTGGAGTGTGTGCTGGAGAGCTGGCCCACTGCAGCTGTTTCTGGAGATGAATTAATGTATGATCCAGGTTACACTGAAAAGGATGAAGGGCAAAGGTAGAGATTCCACTGGTATCAAAAGTGCTGAGTTTGGAAAACACCACTTGGGCCTGCTGATGCTGTTCTTACCCCACGACTGGGCTTGGTGCCACAGAGCACTCCCCAAACGCTGATCAAACGCCTCTGCAGCCTTTCTTTTTGGAGGGGATCGGT